CTAAATTCTCCAGGTGAGACAGTAGCAGAGGAACAAAGGCCTTAGCATAAGCAGCTGTGTAATGCTCATTTTCAAGGCTCTGCTATTTCTCTTTGGTTTTTATTAGTGACCAACAGATGCTGGAGGAATGTGAGAAGCAACTGCAGGCTCAGCAACAGAGGTGTGACGCAGGTAAAGAGCACTTGGATTGGCTTGTTAAAGCCCTCAATACTGTCCGAGCCGGAGTGGAGCATCTCGCAGACAAACTTCAGCACATCACACTGGTAAATTCGACCTCAAGTTGTCCAACTATAGGTTTAACTGATAACTCCCATGGTCTGGCTTAGTCGTAATGCGTGTAAATTTTCTTTTTCCCCCACCAACACATCCATCGTTGATTTTAATTCCTTTTCTTTAAAAATGTCTGATGCCAGCCAGGCTTATGTCTGTTGACCTTCTGTTTCTCTCCAGAATGAGGACACTGTGGCTGAGGTGTCTCCAGACTCAGATGAGTTTGTGATGGAGCTGATGACCCAGTGTGAGCTGAAGTTGCAGTTGCTGCACGAGGAGTTTCAGGGGAAAGATATAGCTGCTGTTATGAAAGAGATGGAAGAGGAGGAGGTGAGTCAACAGCTCCACAATATATTCAAACTGTGTCATTTGCAGTGCTCATAAACTTGAACAGAAGGTTTGTGCACAGATAGATGAATGACGTACATACTGTCCTCATTAACGGAGAATGTTGGCATTACACGCGTAAATAGGTGTCGCCGATGAGATGCCCGATGAAGGTCATTTGTTCAGCATAATCTACCAATAATATATCTCTCTAACTGGTTTGGGAACATCATTAAAGAGTAGTATGTGTTCCTCCTGTAAGGGTTGTGCGTCAGCTTGAACTTTCAATGATAAATGCAGTTTTGGTAAAGGGCATGTTGGGCCTCTCGTTTAAGCCTACATAGCACAGTGCGACAAATGAACACAGCATGGCTGAGCATGTGAGCATGCATGCTGCAGCGCTTGCATAGCTTATCTGAATGGAAATTAGAGCCACCTGAAGTGTTTGTTTGTGATTAATAACGCTCAGCAGCACCTTCTCTGTTTGAGAACATAGGATATCAGAGTGTACCATAGGAAACACGTAACAGTCTGTAGGCCTTTTACTAATGACATTGACTATTTTACTCTCAGATCCCTTTTAGACGGCATAATCTTTGCAATTGACGTAACTCTGAGCTGATAATTTCAAAATGAGTCCAGCCTTGTTTGCATGGCTGCTACTGCAAACTGCTTGGCTGTCCTGGTTAAGTTACGTTGTGTAAGGCCTAAAAATAAAATCAGTTGCGTACAGATGAAAAGTAAGCTTAATACTGGCATTAAACTAAAAATTACAATAATAATATTAATAATTGTATTTATATAGCACTTTTCAAATAATAAAAGTAAATAAAATCTAAAACATAAAATACCTAACAAATACCATCAGTTAAGGATAAGCTGTAAGATAAAAGTTAACATTAAGAAGAGATTTAAAAGAGGATACCGAGTTTGTCTGCCTGAGATCTCCAGGCAGGGAGTTCCACAGACAGCAAAGGCCCGGTCACCTTTAGTGACAAATCGGGATTCTGGAGCCATTAGTAGGGCCCTACCAGAGGATCTCAAGCAGCGATCAGCTCATCGGGAGATAGCAGATCACAGATATAGGCCGGAGCCAGACCATTAAAGGCTTTAAAATCAAGGAGTAAAATGTTAAATTCTAAAACTCACGGGTGAGAGGCAACAAGGACGGGTGTGATGTGGTCGCTTCTCTTAGTACATGCTAAAAGCCTGCCAGCTGAGCTTTGTAGAAGTTGTAGTCTTTGGATGTTTCACCTGCTGATACCAGAATAAAGTGTGTTGCAAAAGTAAAGTCAGGAGGAGATGAAAGCATGGATGGCCTTTTCAAGATCAGGAATGACTTGATCTTGGTTAATGTTAATATTTTCCCATCAATATTGTCATTGACAAGGAATATTATTGATCAGTTTTGTAAGATTTCAGAATCACATTTCATTCTGTTTTGGGCATTAAAAAAGACCAGATTACATGGAAATATGGTCTGTTAAGGATTAACGTTAAATATAGAAAATCACCATTGGCAAAAATAAATGTTTTACTGCTGAGTCAGAATATTCAATGTCTCTTTATTTTGCCCTGAGCAGTTCTATGTCAGGATTGAGAAGAAACTGCCAGCTTACAACACCCGTGTCAAGCTGCCTGAAGACCCAAGACAAGACCTCTTCAATGACGGTGAGTTTGGAGACACACACACACACACACACACACACACACACCAGTACAAGCACACAATCTAAATTGGTCTTCGTTTTCAAAATGTCGCCGTTTGTGTCTCAGAGGAGGAGAGTGAAGAGGACGAGGCTGACATCATCTCACGGGAGGCGCTGAAGCGTCAGTCTCAGCTGATCATTGACTCCAAGTCCAAGAAGAAGTCTTGGAAGAAGAAGAAGGGCAAGTTCTGATCCAGCACCACAGTCTCAAGACTCAAGGAAAATAAATGCTCTGACCCCAAAACTGATTTGAGAGGAAAATTAGCTTACTGTGAGTTGAAGACGAAGAAGCTATATGGACCATCCAAGGTTTCTCTTTGCTATTTTAACCATTTATTGTTTGATCTCTACAAATATTATTATGTGTCCTCGCAGTCGCTAAAAAGATTCTTATATTTTAGGTAAATTGTTGACTGAAAATACAAATGAAAATGTATTTTTTAGATGACAAAAGATGAGCACAATTTAACACTTTCAAGATGATAATTTATTTTATATGAATGGATATCTTTGTGCCTTGGAAGCGGGTTACTTGTTGCGTAGCTGTGTTTGTTTTGACGTGTTCTCTGTCTGGTGTCACTGTTGCACCAACACTCGTTTCTCCGTTTCTTTTTCACAGTTCAGTTCCACCCTCTGCTTCATGGAAAGCCAATAAAAAATGAAAACATTTATTATGCTTTTTATCATATTTTATCTTTTACCGTAAATGGGTGTATACAGATGAAACTGGTAACTTGTGCACAAAGGTTTTCTCTGTCATTGTCCCACTGATTGCAACCTATTCACCGTGAATATAATAGATTTTATCTCACGTATATGATGCACTGCAACCTAAAGCCCACTGAAAGCCAACACTGGTGATGATTCCAGCCTTTATTTAATGGATGAATCAAATCAACAATATCGATGCACCTGTTTTGTCCCAGTAGAAGGTGTGATACAGAGCCGCGTGTGAAACCTTCCCTGCTTGCAGACGTGTAGCACCAACACCCGAGCTATCTCTGCTATGTGTAGCATCTCAAAAATGGTTCTTGCCTCTATGCTCAAATTCTTTGATGGTGACGGAGCCAGCTCTTGGACGTTAGAGAGGTGGATTGTCTTGTTGTATGAGCGTTATTAGCAGAACAATAATTCTTCATACCAAAATGTCTAGGGTGTCACCTTAATGATGTTTAGTTGTCTATCTGACAAACTCACAGGTGGTTACCATGGCAGGTGATTTTGAATGAATAACTTGTTTTAAACAGACCTACAACTTATGGCTGCAGACAAAAGCTCTTTGATGGATCCAGTGAACCAAAAGAGTTAGGTGTTCATTTGTGCATGTGTGTGGTAAGTTCCAGGGAAGGATATAATAAGAGTCGGTGTAACCTCATCTGCAGCAGGATTCATGTCGCATGCATTTTCTAAATGTCATTTACAACATTGACTGTTGGTTCTCTCCTGTCAGATACTGGTGTGTCCATTGCTGTCTAAACTCTACAGAAACGGTTCTTTTTTTAATTGTAGCAGTTTTGTAGGCCTCTGTAAATTACATAAGTTAATAGTAGCCATGGGGACTTTAACAGTATGAAGTTTTAAAGGTCATTACAGAGGCAGATGTGTGATCTTGGACAATATAAATAAAGTTGATTTAACTTAGACTACACTTGTCAATTAGCCCGCATTCAAGATATTTAAATTTGACAGCTTTTTTGATCCCAAACAAATTACAACTGTTGTTTAGACTTTAGGTTTTGCAATTGCGCATAAATAAATAAAAGCCACTGAGTACTTGTGACTGCTTCTAGTGAAGTCACAAGTCTATGTGTGACCTCATGTCACAGGTATTTGCCTTACCACGGATGTGAGTTATGAGCATTTCAGTGATGTTTTTGTTCTCAGATTGATTCATTTGAAGGGTTTTTACAGTCCTGAAGACTTTAATGTTTTAAGTATTTCACATAAAGAAAAGCAAAGATCAGAGAAATAATTCTGTTCTTTTTGGACCCCATGTGTGGACCCAGCCCCTAGGTTTGGAATTACTGATTCAAACCATTATCAGGCACTAAAACTCCACCAAGGTGTTTTTGCAGATACTGTAGCAGCTATTGAAAACCTGATGAAATTTTAGGCTCTGACATCAATAAAAAGGTAATCATTCTGTGGTGTACGCAAAGGGGCCAATCAAAATTACATTAATTTTATTAAGGATGGGGGCTAGTTCTTAGACATGCTGCTCACTTTAGGTCTCAGAATGAAGAATTAATTTACAGCAAGCCTCCATAAAATGATCCCCTAAATCAGCACATAAGATAAAAACAACTTAATGAAACAATGACATTTGATTGGATTTGATTTCATAATCATACACACGTGACCTTCTTTTATACAGTCTCTACACGTGACACATCAAATATTCACAAGGGGGGATAAAACAGATTCAATCCAATGCAGGACAAAAATATAAAATTTAAAAAAACAAACTATAAACAACATGTATCACAAAAGTGTGATTGAATGTTCCACAGTCTGGAAGGAACATCCATCATGTTGCACATTGATTGGCTAATATACAGGCCAACATAAATCAATATATCCGTGTTTATATCTAGTAAGTGACAAGCTTTCGTTTTATTGGTGTTTTTTTCCACAGCTGATCGACCAATCAGTGAGAGGAGGCGGACCTGCGGCTTGGTGCTAGATTTTGAATCGCTGCCAGCAGCGTGAGCGTGTTTCCTCAACATCTCCTGCCACCAGACTTCCATACCAACATGTATCAGCGGTCTGAATAGAGTTCAAATCGTGTCACGTTGTCACGTTTTTGTAGGTAAGAAACATTTCAGCCCTTGGCCGCTTGTCAGCAAGCTCATCAACAAGTTCAGTTCAAATGAGCTAAATGGATACACTGAAAAGGAATGTGGATGAGTCTGCATTTCTGTGAGCTTCCTTTAAGCATAATCAATCATCCATACATATGTTTGAGTGTGTATCACTCTGAGGTCAAGGTGAAATGAGGGCAGGGAGGTTGTGCTTTATTCTAATGAGGCGGCTAGTGAACTGGAATGATGATATGAAATGCAATCAAAATGGGACATGATTATATATTTCAGTGTAGAGGCAAAAAGGGGGGAGGCCATTCCAGCACACACACACACACACACACACACACACACACACACACACACACACACACACACACAGAAACATGCACGCAGAGCATCATCCACCCACAAACACAAAGAACAATCAGTCCTCAGTTATAAATGCCAGAGTCTCTTCCATCCAAGTTTCACACTGTCTCCACATGAATATTCTGGCTGGACAAAATGCAGCTCTGAACATGGTTTTCGTCAGGATTCAAGAGACGCAGATTCAAGAAGATCACGATTACGGTAATAATCTTTTTTAGATTAATGGGTTTTAGATTGTAGTATTCAAAGTGTCTTTTGAATGCTAAAATATCCAGGTTTTCTTGGGGGTGTTGTAGAAGAAATATTACTCTCAATAGCTTAGGCTTAGGTTGTTTGCAAATTGTGTATGTATGCAATTGAATATGTGAACATTTATAGAGAAATATGTTATGGTTATATTATTGAGCATTGACCAGAACTCTGTGTGTGTGTGTGTGTGTGTATACAGTCTTCAGATTTTCATTCGCTGTTTTTATGATGTGGCCATTATGACTGTATTAACGATCAAACCAATGAACTTTACACAACGGACTCTATATATTAATACACTTTGCCAGTATTGTCATTTCAGTAGTAACAATACTGGCAAAGTAACAGTCATCTATATGCTTGACTTTTTGGTAACATAGATTGTTGCCAGCTACAAAGTTGCATCAATTCTATAGCAGATTCCTCAATTAGTTTAGACAAAATGACTTGTTATATGTCAGTTTAGGGGTTTATGTGCCCTTTTTATTATGAAGGGAATTCATTGACATTATTGTGCTGTGCTGCTCCATTAAGTAAGGCTGAAATGTTAACCCCATTTCTGTCCAAGCATGGTAAATCTACTTGTGCTTTTTATTCAAATTCAATTTGTTTAATGAAATACAAAAGAGGTGGAGGTTTAAAAGTGTAACCTGCTATGACTTACAGCAGACCTGGAGTAACCACCTTCTGATGAAACATAAAATTGCAAGAAAACAATACAGCAAGGGACTATACCTAATGTTTTTATGCTGTCCTCCCTGGCACAGATGAGGCAGCAGGTGTGGGAGAGATCTGACGAGGTGTGTGGGCCCATAGCGTGACACCGAGCGAGTGATGAGGGCCATTCTTCCTGTGTGTGGAGGTGGCGATGGAGGGGAGTACCGCGGCCTCCGCAGTAGAGTGGGCAGGATGAAGAAGCTGCTGTGGCTCAGGCCCAGACACTGCGTGGATGTCCACATGGACACGGATCCCAGCGTGTGGCTCACGAGCTTCCAGTTGTTGGACACTGATGGGCAGTATGAGGTAAGTTGGAACAAAACTACACAAGGTTTCTATGATCAACAGCCTGTTATGTTCATTTGCTGCATTTTACTGTAATAGCTGTTCTTTTTTGTCCTAAAACCTCACTTCAATTTCATATCAAAATTGTAACTTAGTTCAGAGGTTGTGGGATATTTCCTCAAATCAGGGTCAGTTGTCAAAATGTCATGCACGGAAATAATGCTAAGTCAAAAAGTCAAAGCATCAATACACTTCTCTCTACTGTAAACACTCAGTTTATTGTCCAACAGAGTGTGATAACAAACACACACAGAATAAATCTACAAGGGTTCATCAATGAAATATGGAAATAATCAGAATCAGCTTTATTGCCAGGTATGTGTACACACACAAGGAACTTGACTCAGGATTGTACATTGCTCACGATGTGCTTACTCATACAAAAATACAAAATCACAATAATAAAAATTAAATAGACACAGACTTCAGTGTAGACAACACAAATATACACACTATGAACAAAAAAATATATAGACATATTGACAAATAGTGCAGTGAGCAGAGTGCAAAGAATGCAGGAGTATGTACATGTCGGAGGTGGATGTGATATACAGGTACATATACACGCATACATGTACACAGTGCCATGAAGCATAGTGCAAAGGATGCTGGAATAAATAAGTATTTTGTGCAGGAGTTATGACTTGAGGTAGGTGGATTGGTATACAGTATCTACAATATGACAATATTGCCCCGGCCTTTTTGTGTGGAGTTTGCATGTTCTCCCCGTGTCTGTGTGGGTTCTCTCCGGGTGCTCCGGCTTCCTCCCACCATCCAAAGCATGCGGGCTAGGTTAATTGGTGACCCTAAATTGTCCTTAGGTGTGTCCTTGTCTATGTGTGGCCCTGTGATGGACTGGCGACCTGTCCAGGGCTTACCCCGCCTTTCGCCCGATGTCAGCTGGGATTGGGTCCAGCCCCCAGCGACCCTGTACACAGGATAAGCAGTTGATGATGGATGGATGAACTGCACTGAAATAGAGAATGGTGAATAAATAATAAGTGTTAGCCAGTAAAAAGGTGGTTGATTAGAGATTCTGAGGTATCCCACCTAGAGCTAGGAGATGTTAGTATAATTTTCACATTGTGATATCACATTAGATGTTGCCTGGGAATTGGGTTATAATAATTTATGGCTTAAATGTTGTCCTTGTTTGCTGCTTGAGAGATTTGGCTGTTATAGTGTAGAGAAAAGACCAATTTTGGCTGTCATATCAGCATTCATAACGATGAAGGCCAGGAGTATGTACATGTCGGAGGTGGTCACCCACATCGAGGGGTGCAAGTGATGATTGTTTCCATTTTGATTAATCTGTCACTTATTTTACAGGTTAATTGTTTGCTCCATAAAACTGTTTAGTAACAAAATGAAAATAAAAAATAAACGCCACAACTCAAAGGACATTCATACCATTAGGCACTCTAAAACACTACAACACAAACATTACTTTTCATACCCTTTATTACTGTGTATCCATCTCCTCAAGAGGATCTCCTTCTCATGCCAGGCCATGGTTGTAAATGAGCATTTTGTTCTGAACTAACTTGCCTGGTTAAATATAGGTTAAATAAAATAAAAAAGACTCCAATCTGATTGGATTTTGGCTTTTAGTTGTTTTATTACAGAAAGTGTTTGAAACACATGACCATAATGGTCATACGTTCTCTCTTGTGTTACTTACGGATGGAATTAAAGTAAAAATAAGTAATTCTCCATTTTGCTTGAGCATCCTCAAGGACCCCTAGGGGTCCCCGGACCCCACTTTGAGAACCACTGCTCTAAAAGACATAGAAACCAGATTATGTTCATATTTGTGAAGCATGAATCACTAATTTCTGGTTAAAAATTATTCTTTTTAAATGAATGAAATAAGAATTAGGATGAATCAATAATAAAAATAGTGATTAATCTTTTTCCTGGTCAGCTGAGTATTTGTTGACAAATCGCTCTAGCCCTAACATAAGCAATGTGTGTGTAATGAAGCCAGGTGTGTGTGTTGGCATTCTTGAAGCAGGCTACCGTTCAGTCAGCCGGGAGCCTTTTAATAGTGTTATTTTAAACTGACATCTCAGATTTAAGTGTTGTAGAGTAACCCTTTCCTACATTGGATTTATTATTGTATTTATTATCCTCTGATATATAAATCATTACATCGTGAAATATTGTTATAATATTGCTGTAATTGTGCTACTGGTGCAATCATAACACATCTGTGACAGAACAGCTGTCATATAATCAGTCATTGAATTTTTTTGACACTGAGGAGGAACTACAGCAGGCTCTCCAGGAAGTATATCATATTCCTGTGGGTGTTTCTTGCATATTTACAGCTAGAACAAGCCTTTTAATCATGTGAGGTTTTAACTTCAACCGGCATGTTTCGGCTTCATCCCACATGCATGCTTCCGCTTGTTGCTCGCCTGCCATCCCATCACCCATTTATGTGTCTAATGAGTACTAATTGGGGTTTCTCCTGGCACTGTTTCTCTGCTCTTTGTTGAATAAGGGTGGGTGGCATGGCCAAACATGGAAGAGTGATGGTAGATTTTCATTTCAGAGAGAGATAGAAGCTCATTAGAGAAACAAAAGGCTCATTATTTTCTGAGCTGAAAGCGCAGCAGGCAGCCTGATTTAAAGATTTCACTACTGCTCAGCTTCTCAGTGTCAACATAATATGTTGCTGCCAGTCAATTTGACTGTAATAAAGTGTAGTGTTTTCACTAATACTGATAGCTCTTAATTCGTACCTTTTTTCTTATTATTTACTTCCTTGAATAAGATATGTTTTAGGAACAGAACAGACCTGTTTTTATGTGGTATGTCCCCACCACGCCCCTGACACCATGGGCGGTAACATAAGCTAGAGGCTGTCGAGCAAAACTGTCACGTCAGGTTTCTTTACAGGCAAAGGCACTGAAATGCGCTAATCCCAACATGTTGATATTGGCCATTTCCTTTTGCATCTTGCATTTAAGCTCGTCCTGTTAAATGTCACTGGTGTTTTTAAAAAACTGAAAATAAACATTTTCTGATGAGAATGTGGAGCAGATTTAAAGCTGGCAAACCTGTTCTTTATCCAGGGAGAGACCCTGAGGACATTTGAAATAACTGAAAATTCATCTTTTTAATGTTTACAGTTTACACACCACAGACGTCACAGTATTGTCTCTGCCATTCATTTCTGTAAGCACATATGCTCACAATGCAATATGTCTACAATGATCAAATCTATGACTGTCATTAGGTGGACTGAAAGCTGGAATACAACCACACTTGATGTTTTAGATTCACTATCACACATTGATATGAATGCACCATAAAAATGCTGTAAAGCCTCATCCTGTAATGCATTATGTGTTGTATGCGCTTTTTAGTGTCTGCGTCAACAAAAGTGAGGCTGTATTCATATCCAGCAAACATACTGTTGGGCTCCGAGAGAGGCAGGATATGGACCGTCACACCATTTGCTGATCCTGACACCAGAGCCCACAGCATTTATCTCTTGACTAAGTGGGAATACTGGCTCTGCACCACAGAGGTGGATGCTTTTTATTAAACAAAATATCACAAGCCCTAGTATCAATAAATTACTGGCTTTTATAACCTTTCATGCCACATTTTGTAAAAAAGAAAAAATTAAAAAAGAAGATTTTAAATTTTGTGCATTTTGATTTACAACAACATTTGAAACTTTTACTGTAGCGGTGACGTAGTTAGACCTAGCGCCATGTGGACTGGCTACAAAATCAGTTAGATTCATAAATCAGTTGCTAAACACGACCCTGAATGGGTTTTATTCTTTAGGATTTCACTAAAATGTTTTTACTTTTATTTAAATACAGCATTTAAAATGAATGACCTTTATTGATGGAGAATGTTTACAGTGTGAAATAGTTACTGCACATTTTTAAGAGTTTGAATATTGTTAAACCACTGGGCACATAGGTTGACCCCCACATGTATACTACTAACACTACTTATAATGTAAGTAGTAGTGTGGTTATGCCAGGCAGCTGGTTCTACTCCTCCCACTGTTTTAATAGTACTTATGAAAAAAAGAAAATTGTCTGAAAATATATTATATAATTCTCCAGGCAATGTCAACTATAACTATAAAATGTATATCATAGGTAAAAAATTCACATATTGAATATATTTCAAAAAACAACCTTTACAGCATCTCCAAGAAAAATCTATGTTACTCAGCATTCAAAAGACACTGAATTCAATCCAATACCCATGAAGCAAAGAATATATAGTTACTTACTGTAATTGAAGTAAAAGGGACAATTTATTTTTATTTTATTTTAATTTTTAGGTAGCCAACTACATTACTACTTACAGCAGCAATATAATCAGTGTCAATAGCAATTTTTCATGTTTAAAATCTGCATAATAATGTTTGATGCCTTTCATCCCCGTATCCTCATTGGTCAATAGCATTAGCCCCGCCCACACCTGTCTCAGTAGCCCCGCCCAGTGAGAGACTGCACGCCCCCTGTCCTCGCCTAGACTCAAACAAGTCCATCCACTGACACACGGTCGCGTCTAACTCCGACGTCAGGACCTTTTTATATACAGTCTGTAGTCAGGACGCAATTCAAACTTTTGGCCTATGTTTGTCGCATGAATGAGATATAATGTCCGATATAATTCAAACCGAAGTGAACTGTGGGAAGACTGAGCTGAATCCTTAGTTTCTGCCTGCGCTGCGGACCAATCAGCTGTAGCAAGAGGAGTTTACACACAGACGATTTGGGGATTTATTCACTCCAAGAGCAAAACAAGCATGGGAAAATGGCAGTTATCGATGGTAGGTTAAATTAAGTTATCTGCTTTTTTTGTGAAGGCCACAAACTCGTTTGAATATACGGTAACACACGATGTTGTCTGCACAGTATAATTTTGTGAAAACATTTGATTCGCTTGGCAAGTCTAAGTTGCATGTGAACCTTATTCTCTCGTTGTCTCTGGTCACCAGAACAAACCTATTGATATAATGGTTTAATTCAGTGCAGTGTCTCATTGTGTCTGGCAGCTAGCACACTGTTTTTTGTCTGAGTTTCTGTCATGTGGTGTTTTTAAACATGCTCTGCTTCTATTCTATTGTTTATATGGCAGATAACATTGTGATTATAAATAGGCTGTATGTTTTCTACCAGTTCTGCCATGGAGCCTGATTCCAGAGCAATGACTAATTGTTGAGGAGGTGGTTATATGTTCATCATGCTTGAACAACCCACAGTTTTTTTTTTTACTTTTATGACTTTATTATTTATTTTAGGATTTTTTTAAATATAATTTTTAATCTGTGCCAATAGCATTTCAAGATGTGTGTGTGTGTGTGTGTGTGTGTGTGTGTGTGTGTGTGTGTGTGTACTACTAATGAAACACTTGCAACAGCACATTGTGAGGGGCTAATGTATCTAACTGGGTTGCGACAAATAATCAGTGATCTGCGATTGAAAGTCGATACCGTTCTAGTATCACAAGAATAACTCTGCAATTTAATGCAGTCATAATGCAATGTATTCTTAGTGATGCAATCCAACTTTATTTATATATTGCCTGTTCGTAATAAAAGTTATCTCATTACAGTTTTCATTTAGAGCAGGTCTAGACTGCGATGACTTGATGTATCGTACAGGATTTTCTGGCTGTGACATGTCACCTTCTTTTTCCACTATGTTGCCATGTGGTGAGACAGTAAAAATCTTATAATAATAATATTAATTATTAATATTATTGTTTATCTTCACTCCAAATATGATGAAATTCTTAAATGGATTTGTTTTCTCAGTTCTCATATATATAATAATAAGTTTAAATGTATGTGTCACATCTATTCAGTACGTGAGAATCTTCAGGTTATTTCTTGAAAATGGAACGATTTTGTAAAATACAGCATAAAACAATATCACTTAAGGAGATGTACTTAATATAGCACGTGTTCACTTCAGAACCTGGCCTCATCTCCTGATTGTTTTCCTAATGTCTGCAATTTTGTAACATGTACTGTAGTGTGAGGGGAAACTTATTGCTGCTGCTGTGTACAAAGAGTTCTGTACATTGTCCCTGTGTTTGTGGACAAACACAACTATGCCAGTGAAGGCCTCTTTGCCTGCTCATCGGTCCAGTCACCAGGTGGCTGTCTGCGTCAGAGTTCAAGGCTGGGTCACAAGCAGAATCCCGAGAATGAGATTAAATGGCACTGAGATTGAACCTTTTTAATGAAATGAGTCTAAAGGCTTATTGTGATTCAGATTTGTAAGATTGTCCCAGTAATTCAGTTAAGCAGCCATGGTCGAAAGAGCTCCATTACTGTTGGGGATTAAGAAGAAGTTTCAGGTTTCTTGTTGTGCAGTGTTTTTATACATTTCTCTCAAAGAAAATCAGTAAATTATTCTATTTGTTTCCCTTTTCAAATACATTAAAGTATGTATTATCCATTATATGATGAAGAAAGGAGCAGACTAGAAGGCTGCATCGTGTGCTTGGGTTATTTGCCAGATCTCGATGACCTTGCATTCTCCCACGCAGGACCCGGTGCAGGAGTGGGGGGAGGAGGTGGAGGACGGGGCCGTGTTTGGCATCACACTACGTAGGGAGCCCATCCTGCCAAGCTCAGACACGGGAGAGTTCCCTACAGCCCTCAGCTTCGTCCAGTACCACACAGTGAAGGTGCGCAGGCTGAAGGCCGCCACCCTGGATCGTCTGGTCACCCACCTGCTGGACCTTGAGCACCAGGAGCCCAACTTCATCCATGTCTTCCTCTCCACCTACAGGGCCTTCACCTCCGCCAGCACCCTCATCAAGCTGCTGTTTCAGAGGTGAGAAACCACACCAAGGCACTGCAGACCCTCTGTTGTACTGAGACACGTTAACAAAAACCATGAGGGATAAAATCAACAAGGCTGTCTGTGTCGCATGCCAACTGTAAAATTATTTTTATTTAAACTTACTTAACCTACATATTCTCTTTTTAAAATGTTAAGTAAGTCAGAAGTTCTTGGTCTCAGTGACACCTCTCTTTATTGGATACAGATTTGAAGGCTTTAATATTTTCTTCCTACCTTATTGACACTGATTTGTTATTCCAGTGTGTCCTATTTTTAGGACCATATGCGTCACCACTTTTTTCAACATGCCAAACAACAAATCAATTTCCAAAGAAGACCGCTATATGACACCCTTTTTACGCAGCCTCAGCTATTCACAAAGAAAATCTCTATTGACACTCGGCAAGCTTTGACAACAGGTATCATCGTCACAAACTAGACAATGCAGCCAGGAGCTTTCGTTCCATTCCACAGTGCTCATGGCTACACCCTCCACACCCAGCAGAGGTGCTTCTTCACCTAACTGAGGCTCAGTGAGCTCACAGAGATTTAATTTGGCTGATTGAGGAATGCTCTTCTGCAACTAATCCATTTCGGGAGTTAGACACAGGAAGTCTCTTTGGTTTTTAATCCTCCCTGGTGCATGGAGGCCATTTGTACGAATAAGTAGACGTTTCAGATCCAGTCTGCTGGCTGGCCTTTTATCTCTCTCAGGTTCTTCAGGCTCACCTTGCTGAATGTACAGCAAATGGCTGCCTGTGTGAAACTCTGGCCATTAGTGCTGTTCACTTGATATATTATATGTCAAACAGTCGCCCTCATGTCTGTGGTGCTGGTGGCAACCTTTAATGAGGTCAGTCTCAGGACAACCTGGGAAGTGTTTTCCCTCCATTGCCTTTCAGGATTTTGTACAGGATGTATTGTTTTCTTGCTCTCATTAACGTGTAAACCACCTGTGCTGTAAACTTGATAGCTGCTGATAACTACTAAATACTTATCTATTTGGGTTTTTTTTTTATCAAACACAACTTTCAGCTTTGCTTTGCTCCCTAAATGGGACATATTACTATGATCATAATTTTACATCTCTGACTCCTCTGTGATGCAGCAAAGATAATTTCCCTGTCATAAAACTTGTTCCTCCCTACAAATTTGACAACATGGCAATATGCTTTATTTATACTGTATATATATTTTTATGATGCCGTTATTAATCCTCGAGGGACACATTTGTCTCTTTACACATGTCACTCTGTAACAGGCAAGGCCAAACTGTCTCGGCAGGCATTCAGTTGTGTTGTAAGACATTTCCACAGGATGAACATAGCCGTAGGGGATCAATCCTGGGGCCTTTTGTTGTTTACAGGATGTGTTCTTTCACCACTAGGCCACCATTTCGCCCCTCCATGTGGCGATTAACATTGAACATTTAGTTCTCAGCTGATAGGTAATTGTGTTTACCTTTTTTCACAGAGATGACTCAGTCGCCAACCTGGATAACAGTGTTTGCCCACGCAGGTGAGTTTGATCACTCCTCCATTTACAAAGATTAGTATGGATCAGCCAAAATGGGGTTTTATAATTGGGTTTGATGGACTGGAATTAGAGCTTAACTTCATGAGACTTTGTTCCACAAATTAATATTTTTTTTGATTAATAATTATTATTTGTCTGTCACAATTTATGACAATTTGTCCAGGCCTTCCTTAATCTCAATAAAGGATTAACCTGAACGACTAAAGAACTAAAACTATAATTAACTTTAGTTATTTGTGTGTGAAGATTCTCAGTTATCAAGTTTGTAGTTATCCAAGCAGGTTTATATCAAATGCAGTTGGACTTGGTTGAAGGTACTTATTAATTTCCCTGATCCTCCCCTCAGTACATTACCCCCCGTGATCCGACTGTGGCTGGAGGAGTACAGTGAAGACTTCCATGAGCCCCCTCAGTACAAGGCCCTCCGGCTGTTGTGTGTCCACTTGCGGCGTCGCCTCTGCTTCAGACGCTTGGCTAACACTGCAGAGACCCTCCTCAAGAGGCTCCAGGAACAAGGTACCGAGGAATGGGAGATGTGATCATGTAGGATTGTTTATATCCTGCCACCACAAAGCATGACCATCCATCTGTTATACTCAACTGCATCTATGATCAGTTATCCATCTTTTTATTCACAGCGGCTCCAGATTATCAGGTCTACAGTTTTCAATTTTCAGTCAGTACAAAACAATTAACCATATTTCAGTAAAAATGTGCACTCGATGTTTATTGCTATTATTATGAACTGCGAGAAGATAGTGGCATAGTGTACATAGGAACATTATTTAGCATTAAAAGATTGACAAATATTTTTTACAAACCCACAAACTATTCACTACAATAGACTGCTGTAGTGTCATGTTGACCTCGACTGAACTGTGAGACGATTTTTGGCCGAGAACAAGGACTGTAGAATTGTCCCCATTGAACTGTAGGTAATCTAAAATCCTTTTAGCAACCCGATTCATTGTCATTTCTTATTTGCTATTGTTTGACAGATTGTAGCCAGGCTGCGTCAGAGCACAACAATGAGCCGTTGCAGCAGGAGGACACAGATCAGGAGGACGGAGGAAAGATGTCCACTAAGGAGGAAGACAAATGCAACTTTATGGACTTCCCTGTGTCAGAAGTGGCAGAGCAGCTGACCCGATTGGACGCTGTAGGTTTCACTGACAAAAATCTCAAAGTGTTTTTACTGTCACTGTGGGTCACTCACTTATGAATTGTCTCCCTATCATCCTGTCTCCCTCAGGAACTGTTTGTCAGGGTGGTGCCCTTCCACTGTCTGGGCTGTGTCTGGTCCCAGCGTGACAAGAAGGAAAACCAAAACCTGGCGCCAACCGTCCGCGCCACCATCTCCCAGTTCAACGCTGTCACTAACCGTGTCATCACCTCCCTCCTCTGCCCGCCCTCTACCAGCCCTTCCACTTCCTCTCCCATATCATCACCCGGCTCCACCTCTAACTTCCCGTACCCCTCCACTGCCCCGAGCTCACCTCGCTGCACGCACACCAGCCCTGCCCACAGAGCCCGCATCATTGAGAGATGGATCGCTATTGCTCAGGTCAGCGTTAAAAATTATCTTAAATGGCATTCACGTTTAGAATCAAGTGACATACAGTATATAAACAGGCCTTTTGTCAAACCAGCATATTGAAACAAGTAGTTTTGTTTCTCTCTGCAGGAATGCAGACAGCTGAGGAATTTCTCCTCTTTGAGGGCCATACTTTCAGCCCTGCAGTCCAACGCTGTGTATCGCCTCAAGAAGACGTGGGCTGCTGTCAGCAGGTCAGCAAACAATATTAAGACACTAGACTTACTTTACTCATAATTTATAAAACAGAGTTGTGTATACCATTGAGTTACTGTTTAGAGCACAAAATGAAAAATGGCAGGTGTAAAAAGTGAATTAAGATTGATAAGAATTCCACAGTGGGTTTCCCTGAATTAATCTTTTTGTAGCTTTGTTCAAGATGAATATTGACTCAACAAAAATAACTGTCTTAACATATTGAATTTGTTTGGTTTCAGGGAAAGCATGGCAACCTTTGACCACTTGTGTGAGACTTTCCCTGATGAGAACTGTGGGCTAATCAGCAGAGAGATCCTGGCGGAGGTAACTTCTTCCAGAGGTGGAGTTTTCATGGTTGAATTGGGTTAAAATGCACTGGCCCGTTCACTCCAATACAAAATAAATCACTGAAGAAACTGCTGGGTGCACTGCAGTAAAAAGAATAGGTTACTTCTTGGTATGCAGCGCAGCAGCGTTGTTTGACTTCTTGATGCTTGTTTAGCTTCCATATGGTTTCGTTCTTGGTGTTCTGCATGGTTAAAATAGTACACACTGTAATTCCCCTTACCAGAAACAATAAGTTAATTTGGCAACTATTTTGATAATCAATAATAATTTTGGTTGTATAACCAATAAAAAAAACTCTGAACTGTCCATGGTTATAGTTTATCCAATGTGAGAGTTAATGAAAGAAAATATAATTATCAATAACACATAATTAGCAATAATGAAAAGAATCACTCGTGTACTTAATGTATTATGAAAAGTGCTATACTCACAAATGTTAACATGTCAGTATCAGCATCTCAGAAAACATCTATAAATATACTTACTGAATGTATTGTGCACAAATTACCTCTAATACTTGGTTAATTAGTTGTCCTATAAAACTGAATACATGCTCAGTCTCGAGCTCACCTGTGTCCTTTGTTCCCTTGAGAAAACAGTTGATATGAATGTGTATTTAGCGATATTGCTGTTATGAGCAGCCCAGTTTTTTATACAATAATGAAAAGGCCATTGTTAGCCAACACAAATAAAAGTGGCTGGCAGTCATTCATTTTATTGAGTACATACTGTCTAATATGCTTCTTGTAAACACACACACTGCAAACCTGAGGGCATCAACAGCACAGTAGGCTGTAACTGTGTCGCTAAAGCACACAGTTGTCATGTAGCCTGCACTGTAGGTGCTCAACCCTGAAAAGAACATTTATATAACGTTTCTGCTTTGTTGTTATCTCACACCCGGCACTCTCACATTATCACCCTGAATTAGAGCTTTTTTGTTTTTTTTCAAAGTTGACAGGACTGTTGTCTATTTTCTGCAGCATGGGAGTCACCCAGATGGCAGTGGCAGCCCGGGCTCCAAATCACCCCAGCTCTGCTCAGCGTCCGGACGGATGGTAAGAAAGTAGTCATCATTTTGTTTGGAAATAACCTGACACTTCCTCATTTGCAGGTTTGACCACCAAAATGAAGTGAATATGTCAGCTATGCCAGCCATTAAAAAAGGAAAGCCAGGGTCTTTTTTTTTCAGCCTGGATCATCAATTCTACTTCCCTAAAAGTCACATGTTGTCAAGCTGGTTATAACTTTCGAAAATAGACACCAGAGTTCCAGTTCCCACTTCTTTTTCGATCTGTTCATTTGATAGAAAAAGTTTACACGCACACGACTGTTTGTTTTGCCCCTTATGTTGGGAGGGATATAAAAGCTAACGTGTGCAGTGTTTCCCACAGATTGGCAGTTTACCTGTCTCTCGGTGGGGTGTGTGTAAACTGTTTTATATCCCCATATTCACTAGTGATGATCTTGTGTTTTCAGTTGTCTGTGTATATTTCTACTTCACTTACAATATATTTTATTTTCATTGGCATTACATTTAAATTCACTCATTTGATTCTTACTCCTTTCTTACTGCAAGCTAATGAGGCTAAATTGACATTAGAATATTCTCTATTAGAGCAACATGAAGGAGTTCACCACTCCAACAGCTTCTTCCAAATATATTAAATTAGATATTTGTAAGAAATGAATCAGATGTTTATTCTCTATTTCTGTCAATTGGGCAGCTAAAATGTAAAAATGTTGCTTGATTTGTTTCCTCAGAACTTCAGCAGAGGTGCGGTGCCGTACCTGGGCACTTACCTGACCGTCCTCACCATGCTGGATACAGCACTGACCGACACTGTAGAGGTGAGTACACATCCCACCCACAGACCCACCTGTTGATTTAGTTTGGTGCTTTGTTATGGTGCTTTAGCAGATTTATGATGCCACATATGTAACAACAGTTGTCTTCCTTTTTTCGCAGGGTGGACTCATCAATTTTGAGAAGCGCAGACGGGTAGGTGTCGCTTCCTAGTGGTGTCTTACATGAATGACTATAATAGTTTTCGTAGCCAGTGCTGGCTTCTATGATATTCTTATGTTCTTCTGTATTATTTTCCATTGTGTTTCTCTTGTAGGAGTTTGAGATTATCTCTCAGATTCGGCAGCTTCAGGCTTCCTGTTCCCACTACAGCCTTCTGGTCAACTCTCATATCACCACCTGGCTGCAGGCACATATAGTGCTGACGGACCAGGAGAGGTGAGAAGCACACTGAAACCACTGCATCACAATACAAAGACAGACAGCTGGATTGGAGGAGTTTTGCAAAGCCATTTGCGTCATTTCTTAATTTAGCTTTTTATTTGTCTCTTGAAGCTATGAGCTGTCACGTGACCTGGAGCCTCCAGTTGACCCCTGTCCCAGCTCTCCCAACTCATGGAGCAGTCGTCTGCTCATCTCGTAAGTACCACCTCTAGCCTGTAACAAATAACCACAGCTGTCCTGATATGACAGTGACTCAGCACTACTTGTATGTAAGCTGTGTCAGACCCAGAAGTCAGAACCCAGATTTTATTTTTAATTTACGCAAATAATGTTCATGAGGAAATAACAAACCTTTAAAGACTCCTGGATCTGTACCAAAAAGATACTTGTCCGAATATTAAAATTAGATTTCAGTTGCTTTTTTGTGAAAAGGTCTGCATTTGTGTGCGTGCAGGTTGCGACCAGCCAGTGACATCTCCCTCAGGAAGACCCAAGCTGACCAGATCAGTGTGTCGTCCTCTGGATCCAGCAGTTCGGACATGGAAGACCTCGCTGCCCCTCAGCCCTCCCCCCTCAGACTCAAACTGAAGGTATGATCAGCACTGACAGTTTCCTGCGTTTATAGTCTGAGTGTATGAAGGTCAGCAGTGACATAGTTTAAATAACATAAAACAACCAAAGACAATTTCACAGGGATTTGCTACTTAATTGGTTTAAAAATCTGGGGAAATTGATTGCTAATTGAAACAGAATTTTCATATTTTCTCCTCCGCCTTTCCCTCTCTCAGTCTCTCTCAGGGTCTCTCCACAATGTTGCAGAGGACTTCTCCTCCAGCTCCATGTCCTCCTCCTCTCCTACTCTTTCCAATTCTTCCTGCAGCTCCTCACATCCAGACCTCAGCTCGTCTTCTCTGGTTCTGAACCCAGAGTCGTCATCGTCCTGCTGCTCTCCTCTGGCCAAGCTGCCCCTCTACAACAAACAGGTCGCTGACTCATGTATCATCAGGGTCAGTGTGGAGTGCATCAGCAATGGGAACATCTACAAGAGCATACTGGTAAGGACAGTGGATTTGTAGTCTTGTATTTCTGAGGACAGCGAGCCTGTTTTTGTGTTGATTTCACAGTCGAGGATTCATGAAGCTGAAACCAGCAAATATCTGCAACTTCTACTTGAAATAATTACCAGATTGTTGTGTTTTCACTCACATAATGTCATAATGTAATAGTTTACGGCGGATCTCCTTATTGTCACTGGTATCTCTGAAAATAAAAACTGTATTCTAAATAAAATTACAGGCTTTCAAATGAAGGTAATTGCCACGTTTATAGGTATTCTGAAGAGTTACAGTGTCGACTTTGGTTGTATTTTGACATCTGGCTGTCTGCTTCATCTCCAGCTGACAAGTCAGGACCACACACCTCAGGTGATTCAGAGGGCTCTTGAAAAACACCACATGGAGGATGTCAGCTGTCATGATTTCAGCCTCTGCCAGATGCTCAACAATGGAAAAGGTGAATTTCCTCCCCTCAGGCCTCCTCTAGCAGTCTGGTCCAGTTTAACTTGCTCAGAACAGGATTGAATTAAACACCAAATTTCTATAACTTTGAGCCCAATAGGCTGAAGTCATTCCTCTGTGTTCTTTCTTTCTGTTCAACATTTTTGTGTAAACTGTGTAAACTGGTTCCTTCACTGCCGCTGCCTTTCATAAACTATGCAATGCAAATGAACCGTTAGACGTTGTGATTTGAAGGAATACAACTCAAGTTTTTTCAGCTGGAAAACAGCTCTTGCTCTTATTACGTTTTCCTCTCTTTCAATGATGCAAACATTCTTTCGAAGTAGATTTGAAATGCCGAAAATTACTTTCCAGATCATTCTGAGAATTATCATCATCATTAATCATTGACTGTAATATAAGCACATAAAGTAGGCTAACATAAAATAAATTGCAGCACTTCATCACTCTATACCTCTTTCTGCCTCAGAGCTCCAGATCCCAGACAAAGCCAATGTGTTTTATGCCATGAGCACTTCTGCCAACTATGACTTTGTGCTGCATCAGCGCTGGAGGAGCCACGGGAGAAATCTGGGCTCCTTCTCCAGTCCTGGGGCTCAACCCAAGAGCCGCCAAGCCAAGTGAAAAGCATCAGTCCTGGCTGAATGTTGGGAGTATATGTAGAAGTCAGAGGAGCTGCTCATCTGCAACGACAGCCCAACCACAAATCTGTGGCCATTTGTAACTGCTCATCACCACGAGGTTGTTGCTGTGCAGCAGGTCCGAGCCGCTCTGCCATAGAGGCCCCCGAGAAACCACAGGGCTATGACTGAAAAATAAGGTTGAGGAGCTCTGATCAAGACATAGTCTTCAACGAGAATTCATCAAGAATTACTCTGGACTGTTTAAAGAGTAACGCAAGAAGAGAGAAATGTCCAGGTACACAGAATAGAAACACCAAGAAGAAATCAGGATTTTGTGTTCTCATATTTTTCTCTATCATCTGAAACATCAACATATTTGGATAAATGAACCACATTTTACCAAATTTTCCTAAGATATACACTTGTGTTATTGTGGACATGCATGTTATATTGTGGTTTATTGCGCATCATATACTTCATAGCACTTCAGGTTTCACTACAGCTAAATAGAAACTTCAGGAGCAGCTATTCTGGGGAAACAGTCATGTGTCATGACGGAGGAAATGTGGCTGCAGAATAAGCAGGCAGACCTGGCTGCAGTTTATTTTCTGTGGTACAGCAGACGTGGGATTTTTCCTTCAGCCTGTGTGGCTGAGTGACTTACTGACTTTTTTAACCACACAAAGCTAAGTGACTAAGTAGGAATGCTCATTGTTAGATGATGAGTAAGCATTCCCAAACATATCTGGGTCAAATGTGAAATCGGTCAGATTTCAGTCGAGCGCATTGAAGAAAAAAAGACTCTGTTTGGACCCAGGCCTGACACTCCTGACACAGATTTTATTTGTCGGGAGAGTCATTAATAAGTATTCAGTTGTCTTCTAGATGAGAATTTAAATGTTTTAATGTAACTTCATGTAATTTTATCAACTTAAATTATTTAATGCATTTCAGTATTCATCTTTCCGGGCAAAAGTGGCATGATGAAAATGTTAGTTTCTGTTTGTTTTTTGGTTCATTTTGGATCCTATCTTCAGTCTTTGCTACACTGTTTTCAGACATAAATGTACTGAACAAAGCTGACTTTTTACTGTCCGCTGATATTAAATGAAGGATGTATGTGAGCATAATGTACACATGTTACAAATGCTTATACTCTGGTCTCTCCTGTACTGTAATTCATTCATTCAAAGGGTTTAAAGAGGAGTAGAATAGCTGAATGTTTGTTGAATGATTCAGGAGAGGCTGCAGTTAAAGAACAGGTATTTTACATTGAGTGGTATATAGCTCACTACGCGTTTGTCACACTGTGAATGAATGGTTCATGTATGTGAAAATGAAGTGTCTCAGTATGTGAATTTAATTGGGCAAATAAGATCATCTCAATGATGTGAAATCCCTAACAAAACTCTAAGGCAGATTTCTGCAAGTATTAAAAGTGAAAGCTGGTTTGAAGTTAAAGTTTGAAATAATTAGATGATGAGCACACAGGTAATGAACAAAATGAACAAAAAAACAAAACACTGGTGAAGTTTCTCCTCAGATTTGTGCAGGATTTTGCATCTCTGGGTGCATCTTTAATACAGCTGTGGTTTGTTAAAATTCAGGTGTGAGGTTGGTAACAAAGGTCTGGCAGCTGCAGTATACAATTTGAAGGAGCGTGACTTCTGCTGTCTGTCTGTCGACTGTATTATTAGTAGGCTTTCATGTTCATTCTCTCCAAATGTGTCAACATAACTGCATGCAAGCCTACATGTCTGTGTTCTAATATTTTCTTTCAACATAACACATTTTTCTTTATTTTTAAAGTTTAAACTAAGCACTTGCTGTTTATATTTAGTATTAAATGTCCACTAATAAAGCTAATTTACTATTAATATTGTTTTTATTTATTGTATTGCTTATGACTTAGGAATTTTTTGGGTCCAGAAAAACGGAGAAAGGCTGATATTTGGTTTGTTGACATCAGCTGAAGGTCCACTGTTGTACTGAATTTAGGTTTGAGTTTGTAATTATCTGAATTCTGTCTTAGTAGGTTGTCTAGGGACCTACGCTAAAAATAATACATATTGGTGGTAGCTGACCACTAGGTGGCGCCAAACACAAATACTTTGAATGTTTTGTCCTACTTTGCTCATCTTGGTGTTTCCATTCAAAGACAAACAAGTGGTTTATCCTTCAGTCAAACATCAAGTCTTTTCACGAGTGACCTACGTTTTGTTCAATTTCAGAGACAAAAAAATATACCGTCTCTTTTATTTCCTCTCCTCTGCTTATCTTTTTTAACCTTGTTTTGGAGTTCTGACCTCTACTCTCTACCTATGATGTGTTGTAACAGTACTACTGCTCATCTAGCCTGTTATTACCCATATGTGGTGTTGAGCAATGATGTGTGTTGATAGTTTATCTACATCAAATGTTAAACAGACCCATCTTTCATTTGTGTGTTATTAGTTTCAACTGACACAACATCACTACTTTCGCAGGATGTCACAGTGACACTTTAGTCGCATGCTCCCCTCAACTGACCACTAAGGTTTCATTGAGGCCTCCGTGTGTGTGAGAGAGCTGCTGTCCTCCTCTGCCCTGGGGCCTGTGGCCAATTGAGTCTTAATGACTTTCAGTGTGTACGGGACCAAATCAGGCCACTTTTCTGACATGAACTTACAAACTATTCAATCAACCGACAGGCTTGACTAATTTTCAGTCAACGGGTATCATGTGAGAGCCGATTAAAAATTATTCTTGTATCACAGAAGAGTCACTATGAGCTGCTGAATTTAGTTTTACACGTTTAGGGTTTCATGGCGCATTTGTTGTTTTTGGTGGCAGAAATTACGCCCGCAGCAAAAATAAATTCGCTTAGTTCGCAGTAGTTCGCTTTAGCAGCAGCTCAGATGTTTGGGTTAGAACTTTTTGAATTGTTTCATCTAAACATAGAAATGTTTAATGAGTCAGACGCCCTAGGCACCGACCATGAACTGCAACATTACTGGGTTTGCTTTCACATGAAGACATAAAATGCCAAAAAAATAGTAATTAAGTTTAATGAATACCTAACAGTTATCCATCTGGTTAAGCAGCAACACAGTAAGAAACAGAAAGTACTCAACAAGCATGTATTTCTATCAGGGCTGTTTGATCTTCTAAATTTCTTAGTTTAACAACAGAGGTTTTTCATGTACTTCTGGGTGCAGCTGAAGTTAGGCTAGAGATTATAGAATTTAGCAGATTGCTGTAAATGCTAGCAGGATCAATATTTATATGTATTTATAAGTGTACTTGTAATAAATCATCACATTACACAATTTGCTGAGTTATGATGGTGGTTAATATCAAATAGGCCTCACATATAAAATTCGTAAATCAATTATAATTAAATATCCTACCCTAAAAATAAAACTTTTTTTTTTTTTTATTAAACAATTTGTTTAATTTTTACTTTTTGTAGTGTTTTGCATATATTACTAGCAGATATCAGACACCAAATTTGGTGAAGGTTGGATGAAATTTGTAACATGAGTCATTTTTTAAAAAAGGTGCTGAACTAAAAATATGCAAAAGCTGTGTATGCTCAAAAGAGTGTGTCCTATTTGCAGCCACAGGCAAAATCCAGGAAAAGATTATTTTGCATCTACTCATCACGTTAGACATGAACTTTATGACTTGCAGCATGGTGGTGCTATCCACACCAAAAACTAATTAGTTGTATCTTGACTGTAATCATGGCCCAACTAAGCTTTCATGTAATCCAATCCTTATTTCATGAATTTAATTTAATCTCTAACTATTTTGCTGCCAATCAGGAGATCACATTACAAGCAACATTTAAATAAGGTAGGTATAAAGCAGGAAAAAAATCAAAAAGGTATTACAATATGTAAGACAGCCAATCATATAAATCTACACACACATATCAGCCAATGGAGCCATACAAAGGGGGGTTAGGTATACAGTCATGTGGCTTCTTTTCCTGTTCCATGCACCATGGAAGTAGGTGAAGTTGTGCCAGAAACCCTACCCTGCACTTTGAGTTGTAACTTTAACAGTAAGGCCAAGAGATATGGCCAGGGGTGGAATCTGGACAGTTTGCCCCCCTACCAGAGTCAGATGTTGATGACGGTAGTTGTTGTTTTTTAGTGTCATGGATGGACTACTAAACGGACTTACCAGGTACAGGCCCAGTGCCCCTGGATCAGAGCCTCCGTATGAAGTGACTGTTAACATTTCTAGTTGTAAAGTCAATCAAACGATTCCATAAGGATGCAAAATGAACACAAAGAAATACAAAACAACTAATAAGAACACAAACTGATTACACAGGGTGCCTACAGTGTATCATGGATGTGTCCTTACCTCAGTGACCTGGGTTCAAGTCCAGTACACTTGCACAAAATTATTTAAGGACCTCAGCAGGTAGGTTTTCCCAAACATCTTAGAGAACTACCCACCGTCCTTTTGTGGATTTAGGCACCCTCAGTTGCATCTATTGTTTACAATTTATTTCATTTTAACTACTTCTATTGCTCCCTTAATTTTTATTCATGTTAATTCTTTTCATCATATTATTTTAACATGTAACCTTTACTTTTTATATAAAGCACATTGAATTGCACGTGTATGAAATGCACTCTATGAATAAATTTGCCTTGCCTTATCTCTCTTCATGTAATCCCAGACAGACTGGGTGATGTTGAGATCAGGGCTCTTTGGGGTCTGTACCATCACTTCTTGTTCTTCTTTACACTGAAGATGGTTCTTAATGACTTTCACTGTATGTTTGGGGTTGTTGTCATGCTGCAGAAAAAAATGTGTGGCCAATCAGATGCCTCCTTGATAGTATTGAATGATGAATAAGTATCTGCCTGTACTTCTCAGCCTTAAGGAGACCATTAATTCTGACCAAATCCCCAACTCTGTGTGCAGAAATGCAGCTCCAAACCTGTAACGTGCCTCCTCCATGCTTCACTGTCGCTTGCAGACACTTATTCTACCACTTCCAGCCCTTCAACGAACAAACTGCCTTCTGCTACGGCCAAATATTAAAATATTTGACTCATCAGTCCAAAGCACCTTCTGGCATTTTTCTGCACCCCGGTTCCTGTGTTTCTCTGCATAGTTGAGTCGCCTGGACCTGAGTTCTTATGTCAGAGGTATGGCTTTTTGATCGTCTCCATTAAGGCCACTTCTGATCAGACTTCTCCGCATAGTAGATGGTGTACCTGGGTCCCAGTGTTTTCTGCAGCTCTGAGCTGATGACCAGTGTGGTCAGCCACAACCGACTACAAGGAGACATGCAAAACAACTTCAAAGAGATGCAAAGCCGCCACCAAGAGACACAAAACAACTACAAAGACATGCAAATACATCTATTAAAGTTGCAAGCAGCGTTAAATGGGCCCTCACACCGTGACGCGTATCAGTGCAGTTTCCAGAGGTCATCGATGCTGCTCTAAATTATCATGTGCTTTGGACGCCTCATAAAGGAGTTAAGCGTCACTTCCTGTGTCCCATATGTGGCACTAGAGAACACTTGCTAATTACACGTTATGTCCCAGTCATTGTCAAAATTAGCCTACATATAAATTAAATGATTACAACACAAGGCTTACTTCCTGTTGCCAGTAGGTTGCGGTATGACATTGAGTGATTTTTAGCATACAGATGTATTCAGGGCAAGAATGTCAATAAACCTTTAAAATATGGTGGTGATTTGAGCATGTACACAGAAGTTATAACAACTTTTTGTTTCATGGTGGAATCATTGATTCCACGCCATTTGACGAAAACTCACAGACAGCACTAGTTTTAATCGTAGATTGCAGTGAAAACATTTTTAAGTCAATTGGAGTAATTCTCTAGGAGGAGTTTGTTAAAAAAAACAAAACAGTATCTGGCATAGTCAGAGATCATCAAATATCAGTGCTAACAGGAAACGGAGCACATACGCTTTAGTAAGAAGAAAATAAATTAAAAGAGAAGAAAATATGTACATAATAGTACAAATAAAATACAAAATAAATAAAAACAGGATAAAGAAACAGTAGTAAAACAGTTATGGGGCTTCAGATAATTTTAAGGCATCAATAAAATCAAGAAGTTTCTTTGCTGTTTTCTTCTTCATGAACAACAGGGACTTGTAGTATAATGCAAATTCTTTCTTGAAGACAGTAAAAAGAGGCTATGTTTTCAAACATTTACATTTGTGGATGAAAAATTTACCCGAGATAAAAGTGTTTAAAAGCAGTTCATAGTTTTTGTCCTTCATTATAATTCCAAATGTGATGTTATCTCTAGTGAAATTGGAGAGAGACTGGAGATAAGGTTCCAGCCAATCATACATGTCATACCAAAATGTGTTACTGTAAGGACAGAAGAAAAACAAATGATCCGTGGTCTCTATGTCCTCATCACAGAATATACAGTTAGTTGGATCAATGTTAAATCTATGTGAGGGGAGATCTCTTGAAGGATATATGTCATTAAATACTTTGAAGTGAAGCTCTTTAGCTTTTGGTGATAAAGGTAACTTTAAGAAATCTGTGCGTAGTTTCTTCAGAGAAGAATGATTGAAAATAAGAGAAGCAGCATTTGACGTGGAAGGAAGAAGAGGGGGTTGAACATATGAGGTAGTTCATTTTTTGCCATCAAAAGGAAGGCAGATGGGATGCTTTGGATAACCATATCATAATGTTTACGATTGCACTGAAAATTAAGTTTTGTACTGAGATCTTCAAAGGATAAAACATTTCCATAGTTGTCCAGTAAATGTGTGATAGACCAAATATTGTTTTCCAACCATTCGTTGAGATACAGGGACTTATTTCTAAAGAGAATGAATCTGCAGTTCCAGATGGGTATGTTATGGGGAGTAAAA